AATACCGTTTCGACATCAAACGCGTTTTGATCATTTTTAATTCCAAATTTTGCAAAACCCGAAAAATAGAATTTTTAGTATTCTGAGTTAGTTTTCTAATCCAACTTGAATCACCAAAATTGCATGTCAGACGAGAAACATATACATGAATCAATGAATACTGCTCACAACTTTGATGTATTGATGTATCTAAACTTCAAAATGTGACTCATTCATGCATAACTTTGTCACAAGACATCCAATCTAGCGGATTTGAGTTGGATTAGAAAACTAACCTAAAGGACTACAATTTTCATGTTTCGAATTTTACCAAAATCAAAATAGAAATATGTCAAAATCAGGTTCGAAGTCGAAACGACATTAGTAAAATTGAAACGACATTTAACATTTCAGTTTTTATTATTTATATTATTTGGGCAAAATCAGGACAACCCCTCGTTAGGTAACATATTATACTATAGGGCCAATTTATAATTGACACTTTGTAAATAAACCCATATAATATTTTTTGAATTGTGTGACCTCCTAAGCTTATTTTAATTTCTATTATGCCATTTTTTTGTCCATGTGTTTCTCCTACCCTTTCTCTTCTTATTTTTTTTTATCCGCCATTTTATATTTTTTATTTATTTCTCTCTCTTCCTTTTTCCCTCTACACGTGACGTGTTTTCCTTTTATTACTCTCTCTCTCTCTCTCTCTCTCTCTCTCTCTCTCTCTCATTGTGGTCTATTTTTGTTTCATTTTTTCTCTTTATTTTTCTTCATTTATTCTCATTACTTTGCATTTTCTTCTACATCTCAACTTTTTATCGTTGAAATCAATCTATTTTCTACTCAATGAATACCATATATCATGATTTTCATCGAAGATTAGATTTTAATTGTCGCTATTCCATTTTACAATACGATAGTATCTTAAACTGAAAAATAATACAGTAAATTAATGAAAAACATATAGTTGACTACCAACTTTGTATAGTTGACAACGGATAGTTGACTTCGGAAAAATTACAGTTGACTTCGAAAAAATTATAGTTGACTATCCAATTTTTACTATTGCACACAATATAGTTAACTATCATTTTTTTATAGTTGGCTATGGGCGTAGATTACTTCAATTTTGTGTTTTTCGCCACAACAATGATCCTTTATTTTTCGTGGACTCTGATAAAACAAATTTCATGGGAAATAAATATCTATGAGTCAACAAATTGTACGATCATGGATTTGTAGATCTAAAAAACCAGCTTGTTTACAAACTTTGTTTTCGAGTAATCAACCATTGAAGGATTTCGAACCGTCGTACATTGTCGCCGTGAACCACCACCCATTGACGTCGTTGCACATAGGCGCCCATCGCTGCCGCTGCCCATCCGTCGTTGCTAAGCATAGCAAACTTTTTTTTTGTTGGGAAGATAGAAGAAAAAAATAGGAGAAAAGAGAGATAGAGAAGAAGATATAGAAACGGTGTTAGGAAGATGTTGATTCGTGTGAACTGCTTCTAATCATCAATTAATTTGGTAAGATGATGGTGGGTCCTTTCCAACACAAAATATGAGGATAGTTATGGTATGACACAAATTGAGGGGGTTTGACTTATTAAAAATAATAAAGGGTGGTTAGTTCTAACAATTTTCATAATGAGGGGTTTATCCCTCATTAACCCTATTATTTATTATTTTTATTTTATTATCATCTATACAAGTATGCATGATGCGGAAAGTTTCTTCCACTTTTGTGTGGACAAAAATATCCTTTGAATAAGTAAAATTTGAAGAACAAATAATGGAGAAATTTAATAATTAATTAGATAATTAATGGACAAGAAATAACTTATTAAATCTTTACACCTTTTCTTTTTCTTCGTCTTTCCGTGCCATGAACTTTCGTAGTGAATAATCACTTAACAACATAACAACTATGGTCGAATAATTAATTACTCATTATCAAGGTTGTAAAAATCGGTAATCGGGTTCGAGTCGGTCAGGCACCGACTCACGATTAATCGGTGCGGCGGTGATTAATCGGTGATAAATCGGAAATAAATCGGTTTTAAAAATTTAATATAATATATTTCTAAATATTATTTATAAATACTCCAAGCATATGTAAAAAGATATTTAAACATAGTTATATCTCCATCATGTATATATCCTAATAACTTAATAAAAGTTTAATAATCATAAGATCATAATACATAAATATCCTTATAAAATATAAATAAACAAACAATTTTTTTGAATTTACTTTTATTCTTGAACATTCGTGGCATACATCATTAGTTCTTTAACAATAACAATTAACATAAACAAAATAAGGCATAAACTCATATTTTCTTTTATTAAAATCCAACTTTTATATTGAATTATAAAATAAAATAAAATTAAAAAATTAAAAAAAAAAACCGATTTTTAACCGATTTTTGACCATTTTTTTGCCACCGAGTTTGACCCACCTTAAAGGTTTGACCGCCTCAGACCGTCTCGGACCGACTCAGACCGCCTCGGACCGACTCAGACCGCCTAAAACCGCCTCACAGGCAAAAAACCGATTTTTCAAACCTTTACACTAAAATCGTAAAGGTTTTGGACCGCCTCGACCGATTTTTAGAACACTGCTCATTATTACTATATAATTATATTAATATTAATATTATTATACTATTACAATTACTCTTACTATTTGGTACTTTGATGAATATTCTGGTAATGCATATTTGGCAATATAATCTGAAAGATAATTTTTATATTTCATGTTTTTTTGTTATTGCATAATAATGTATACTTATATTTGGAATTTAATGTCGTTATCTGTAAAGTAAGATATAGAAAAGGCTACACAATGAAGAAATTCAATGGATTTTAACGGATTCAGGCAGTGGCCGAAGTCAGAATTTGATATTAGGATGGCTAAAGTTTACAACGGTTCGGGGCAGTGTCCATAACTTCTTTTTTAGAAGCTATACGTAAAATACACCACAAAATAAGTAAATATAATGCTCAAAAAATAATTAATGTAGCTCTTTAAACTACATCAAAAGAATTAGGTGGGCTAAAAATGAACAGAACACGCTAATAAAATTGAAACCACATTAAAATAGGGATTTGCTTTTTACGGTTTGAAAATTGCTATTTACCGTTCAAAGACTCTCTCTCTTTCTCTCTCTACAAAAAAACGCTCTCAAGGCGATTTCATCACAAATCATTGTTATTGGTGTGATATACGAACATAAATGAGTTCATCGGATGAAGATCTGGATAGCGGACATAGCGAGGTAAAAATTCCGTCTTTTCGATCGAAAAAAATGGGCTAAACGTTCAAAAGCCCATCTCGGGCGCCTGACGGTGCCGTGCACGCCCATGTTGGGCGTGCAGTTGACTCTTGCGCGCCCATTATGGGCGTTTGTACGCCAACTGCACGCCCAACATGGGCGTGCACTGCACCGTTGGACGCCCGAGTTGGGCTTTTGGCTTTTAAACCCCTTTTTTTTTTTTTTTAAATCAATTTTTTTATGTTTTTTTCAGGACGATACGTCTACAATTGAAGTTGATCATACCGATTATTTTACCACTACTCAGTTGTTTGACTCGAAGGATGAGGTAGTGGTTTGGGTGAGGTTCGTTGCAAGAGGTCTTTTTGTGAAAATAGTAAAAAGAAGCTGTCCTAAAAAAAAGATTTTTCTGACTTGTGACCTATACGGAGAGAAACGAGAATGTCCATCAACTAACCCAGACGCGCGCCCGAGAAGGACCGGTAGCAAAAAAATAAACTGTGGTTTTCAAATTGTTGGAGAGCTACGATGGGATGATAGATGGGAGGTCAGAGTAGTATACGGGAAGCATAATCATGTTCCGATATACAAGTCCGGGCATGGGATGAGTGCATTGTCTCAGGAGGAGGCGAAGATCATTAGTGATCTGTCGCAAAGTCATGTGCCGCCCAAGAAGATTTTGGCTAACTTGAGACAAAATGGTTTGGGTCTCGATGCTTATTCGAAACAAATATACAATGAGAAGGCGAAATTGAAAAGACTATCTAGGGGTGACCGTACAGTGATGCAACATTTGATTGGATTGCTTGAGGAGCATAACTATTACAAGTGGTTCCGTACTGATGAAACAACACATGCAGTTATTGATTTGATGTGGGCTCACCCTCAATCTGTCGAATTGTTAAGTAAGTTTCCGTACGTTATACTACTTGACAGTACTTACAAAACCAATCAGTACAAATTGCCTTTGTTGGAGATTGTTGGTGTTACTCCTGTCGGTTTCGTATTTTACTGTTGCATTCGCATTTTTGCCCCATGAAAATGAAGACCATTACACATGGGTGTTGCAAAAACTAAAGAGACTTTTCCCCCCTCAGACTCTACCTAGTGCCATCGTGACTGATGGAGAGTTAGGGCTCATAAAGGCGCTAGAGAATGTATTTCCGACCGTACCTCATCTCTTATGTCTTTGGCACATTAACATGAATGTGGGGCGTCGTGCTTCAAGATGTCTCGGTAATAGTAGGCGTCGTGGCACGGCTCTTTTACTTGGTGCGTGGCAAACTTTGGTAAAATCAGTGTGTGAAGAAGATTTCGCCAGGAATTACACAACTTTGATGGACGAGTACGCGAATTATCCAGATTTGATTGAGTATCTCCAAGACACTTGGCTCGTATACAAAGAGAAATTTGTAAAAGCATGAACGGATCTAATTTTCCATTTAAGTAATACATCGACAAGCAGGTATTTATTTATAAGTGGTTAAATATATATACTTAATTTACTGTCATGTTGTTTATTGAAACATAGCATATTCTAAACATATTAGGGTGGAGAGCAACCATAGAGCATTGAAGAGATGGTTGGAATCGTCTACGGGTGGCTTCGACACATTTTGGGCACAGTATCACTCATAGATGAAAGATCAATTTAACGAGATACTAGCCGATCTTGCAAAATCAAAGAGGATTCGGGCCCAGACGATCAACGTGCCCGTATTTAAAAATATTGTCCAGTGGAATTGTAACACATAATGCTCTGCAGATGTTGGACGATGAGAAGGATGAAGACATAGACGGTTGCGTCTGTTATATGAGGAAATGTCTTGGACTCCCATGCAGACATGAAATTCGTGCAAAGGTGAATGCACGACGTGGTGTGTTTTATGCAGAGGATGTCCACATTTTTTGGAGGACATTTATTTCGGGATTCGGGGATTCCCTAGATGAAAGTGTTGGTTCTGTTCCCGACCACAGGTCACAGGCTATTGGCAGGCTAGAAGGGTTAATGAATGATTTGCGTGAGCGGTCAGAAATTGAGATCATGGACGTGACAGATGTCATTTTTGAACGAATGCATCCCGGGGCTATGGAAATGAATGAGCCACCAGTACTAGACTGCCCGAGAGGTAGACCACGGAAGAACTCTACACAGAGGGATCGGCCAGGGCATGAGTTTCCATTATATCCGGGAGAAGGTGAAGAGTCTGGACGAGGACGATCACGAGGCAACAGAGGGCGTGGTTCATCTTCTGAGAGATCTAGCCGTGGTCGTGCTCGTTCATCGACCGTGAGTGGACCCGCAATAGGTCAAATTCCCCGACCCCCTTGGATGCGACAACTTCATTTCTGCCTTGTTCCGGAGGTTGTGACGTGGACGGACGTTCAAGGGGATGGTAATTGTGGTTATCGAAGCGTCGCGTGTGCAGTGAAGAACCACGAGGATGATTGGATGGATGTTAGAATGGATGTTTATAACTGTATTAAAACACACGAAGAGTTCTTTAAGGATTATTTCGGTGGTGGTAATTTAGCGTATCGGGTGTTGGCGAGTGTCGCTTATTGGGACAACGCCCCAGCACCCTATGAGAAGTGGATGACTATCACGGACGTGGGCGTGGTTGTGGCAACATATTACAACGCGTTGGTCTTGTCGGCTAGCAGCTTGGGCAATCAGACTTATTTACCACTTTGGGCTCCCGAAGGTGTTTCACAGTTATCTTACGAGATGACTATACTATTTCTTGAATCAGGAAGCCACTTTGTGTACGTGAAGATGAATGACAATTGTCCGTTTCCTCCGTTTGATAGACAGTGGGCGAGGTATAGCAATAATAGTGTTGCATATCTACCAGAGGCGTTGCGGAGTCGACGTGAAATATGGGATATTCTAAATAGTGTTTGATTTAGTTTTGTTTTTTTTATTGGAATGAATGTATTACTATTGACATTGTATTTTATTGGAATGAATGTATTACTATTGACGTGAAATACATGATGTTATAATAAATATTAGTATGTTATTATTATTATTATTATTATTATTATTATTATTATTATTATTATTATTATTATTATTATTATTATTATATTATGTTCTAATACTCATATATCCAACACTACAGTACGGGAAATAATAATACGGCATAATTAATAACAACAACAACAAAACCAACAACAACAACAACAACAACATCAACAACAACAACAGCAACAACAGCAACAACAACAACAACAACAGCAACAATAGCAACAACAACAACAACACCAACAGCAACAACAACACCAACAAT